AACGGCTGCTCGTCCATCGCCTTACTACTTACGGCGCGCAGACAGCAACTCCGCCCAACTGCGGTGAAGTTTCAGCTTCGCCTCGAGCGCGTCCGCCCATCCACTCCTTCGCCTTTCAAGTTCTAGTCCTAGAATCGTAGTTTCTTCAGCACATGTTGTCTGGGGCTTTGCAGTAGATACTTTCCTGAGAGGGCTGACCGGCCCGTGCTCCCTTGTCGCGGGCCCAGGGCTCCGGCGAGCGCTTGCGCTCGTTGGCTAATGCACGTTAAACTGAGCGTATCATTCAAATGTATAATGCCCAACTGTGATCCATTGAGTCCTACTATAATGATACAAATGACCACATAAACATACAGATGGCCAGAGTGCACCGTACATCGTTGACCGTTCGGAGCCGACACACACTTGTCGTGCAGCTTCCTCAACCACTGCCTGAGTCCCGCGACCGCCGAGCTCGAATACGGAGCCCTCCGCCTCGGTAACTCGCACGGAATATGTGTGTCCGCAATTAGTGGGAGGAGGCGACAGGTAGAACGGTAACAATTGGGCGTCGCTGTTGGTGATGAGTACTTAGCTGACGACGCAGGGGTCAAAACTAACCGGCGAAGGTCTGCGCTCTGCCGGACGCGAACAGGTGAACACATCCCGTAAACGCAAAGCGGGGCAAGGTGAACAGAGAGTGATCATATCGCATGGTGTAGCAGTCACTCACTCCAGAGCGCGCCGGGCCTCTCAGTCTATGAACCAGCAACCACTCGTGCCACGGGTCGACATGGCTGGGACATTGAAGATGAAAACGGCGAATACGACTCAAATGAGTCATTTGGCGCTGTACCACGAAGAGGCCGCTACCTCCGGCGCAAGGGTCTCGCCAGCAGGAGAATCGACGTTTCCGCGATGTGGGCAGCGAGAAGAATGCGGCCCCGGGACGCTCGTTCACCGGATTTTCGCCACACGGAGTCGACTCCATCGAAGCCCAAGAGCCCGAAACTCGAGGTTATAGGTGTGGAACGTGAGATCGCAATTCGGCAGCCCATTCCTCGGTCGACCCGCAAGCACAGGTGACGGTTCGCTCAAGCTCCATGACACCCTGAGATGTTACATGTATGCGTGGAAGATCGCTGAAACTGCGTAAAACACGTACTTATGTCATTGCATCTTCACCCATTTTCCTGGGAATGGGGACACACCGGTAGTAGAAAGAACGCCAGTGTAGAATCTTTGAATCGAGTGGGAGCTCTGCGGTCGGGCGGTGAATCGTAAGCTGATCGTGCATCACCGAACGTACGTTGGTTTGATGGTGCATCGAGCAGTGAGCCTCAAGTTGGCCTCAAGAGTCAAGGTAGCGACGCTAACCAGTAGGCTCGTCCACCCTGAATGACATCGATAACTTGCAAGCATCAATGAGATCCAATGAAATCGGCTATAGTACCTTCGGCTTTCCGGTTCAAGCTGAACGCGCTGAAGTAAGACCATTTCAAGATTTAGACGGCGTATAAGAGTCCGCAGATGGGTGAGCGCTTGAGCGCTGAGCGCTAAATTTCTCCAGCGAATGTCGGCTGCTGAAAGCTTTTTGCAAGTCGATTTCAGACCTACGTCGTAGTGTGGAGCCTATGATCCTGGGTCCTACGGTTGCCAGAGATCGTCTGCCAGAAAGAAGGGGACTCGATAAGAGTCGACTTGTCCAGAGTTCGAGTGTAACTCGAGGGTTTTCCACAAGTTTTCCGCCAAGGTGGATGATGTGAGGGCAGTGGTCACGGCAACGTGGCTAAATTGATTGGCGGTGACCGGTGACTCTCTCTCCTCCACCCACTGTCAAGCTACAGCCATCGGCCCTTGCTTGTACTCCTGACGTTGCTCCTTGAAGCTCCCGTTGTCGTGCTCGTATCCAGATTTGCCGGCTGGCCGCCGATGGATCCTGCGGTGGCATACACCGTACCACGATAGGAGTCGACACGGACTACGGACAGCCTTCGCAATACCATGGACGGTCGGTAAGCCAGGCTCTGTGCAGATTGTGCTTAGTACCAGTCTCCGCGCGGACTCGGCGACGGCTTTATTTTGATGTCGGTGGGGGACGATGGCCTGCGAGTGCGACTCTTTGACAGAGCCTCAAGAGCCGTTGGGTGGGTCGCGCGGTGTCGCCTTCGAGCGAATGCGTACAGTGCCAAAGACCGTCCACTTGGTAAAATTCCGCCGATCGAGATGGAAGGTGAGATACATATTCGGCCGCGTGGCGACTTGGTGCGGCTGATTGGATCCAGACGCGTCGTCGTGTACCCGGCCAACTTAGTCTAAGTTCGCCCAATTATATCGTGGGAGCTGCAACACTTACAACCATACCAAAGTAGACCACAGTGAATACATCAATATCGCAGCGACGCTACTCGTCGCATCGGCGCAAACAGCGAGGCTTGGCAGACGATCTGCAGCGCTATACGATGGCTGATCTGCATCGTTCGACTGGGTGGGAAAGCCTGAACATCATACGTACCGATGCGTGTTTTGCTTATCCTTGAACAATTGGGCTGATGCGTGCCATAGTCCCCGGCGAATGCGGCATACATCACTTCTTATATCTACGCTGAACTTCGCGTAAAGCACTCGCCGCCATTCGTGCGTCGCCGATGGGTGAAAAACCCCGCTTGCATCCTCATGCTCATCTCCGCCCTCCCGTGTGCCCAGTAGGAAGGGGATCGCTCATGTTATCCCGGTTCACAACGAGCTCGAATGACTGTGAAGTTTCCGAAGAAGCGAGGGCTAAACGGAGCAGAGGCGCGGCTAAACTGGCAGCGGGTGACAGGAAACCCTCGGTGGACCACCGAGGCCCATGGTACGTGCCGCATCTCGTTCTCCCGGAGAATCGGACTGAAAGACGCTACGCCCGAAGTATCATGTGGTACCATCCCCAGTTTAGCCATGATCTAAACTGCCCCCTCTTTCCTCAAAGCTCCGATTTCCAAGACTTGTACCTCGCTCTGGCTCGATGCGATAAGGGATCCAACAATGGGTGGCAAAGGCCGGACAGATTCCGCTTTCATTCCAATCATGTGTTTGCCACTGTTCATGATATTTCCCCATAGCACTGAGCAGCCGCAGCAGACCTCTGTCTCTCTCCCCAATAAGATTTTGCTACGAAACCTGCCAATCGCAATGATCTTGAGCCATCCCGATGGGTTCCAGGAACCCTTCCTCGCTCCCTGGGATATCGTCCGTCCGGTTCGTATCTTGACAGCTCGTTCAAGTTTCTGCGAAAACACTCTACAATTATGACCGTCACCACAAGCAGTTTCTTTACTAAACAATGTCTGGCATTGGAGTCTTTCCTATTCATTTTGTCATAGGGAAAAGCGACCGAGTAGATTTGGGGTTCATGGTGGGTGAGCCCAGCAAAGACCTGTTTAGTTGAACGTTGGCCTCATGTTCATGTGTACATATGTTATGTTCATCACTGCGGCTCTCCGTCTCTCTCTCACGAAGAAGATTTCCTTCAGCGTCCTCCAGTTGCGTTCCTCAGAGCAGGTCTACCTTCTCGATTCTGACTGCAATGTGAGCTACAGCAGCGGCATGGACGTCGATTCCGAATCGGGGACGAAACCGGGGACAGGGCAGGACTTACTCAGCGGCACAGGGTTTTCCAGCGTGTCAGCGTACCTGGAGGCACTCTACGCGCCGGAAGAGTACGCACAGGCAACGGCGGTCAAAAAATCTACCTGGAGAACGAAACGAGGATCTACTAGGCCGAAGCCATACGACACAACACAACAGGCGAGCATGTTGAAAAAGCTCGAGGGCAAGTTGAAAGCACCTCCGACGGGTGTCTTGCAATCGTCTGACGTCCTTTACACTGTTCTCGACTTCCATCTGTACGTCGCAGATGCTCTGTATGCGCTCGTATCCTCTAACAATACTATATCGGGTTGATTAGGCTCCCGGATCCGTCTTTGGAGGGCAACACCATGGTACCAACTGGCAACCCCATCCCAACTGCACCCTCGTCTTCTGAAGGAGCTACGACACCCCCCGTTCCCCAGATCTCTCAGTTCAGTGTTGCCGTATCGGGAGAGAAGAAAGAGGCAAACACGCAGCCTAAAGATGTCGCCCCCGCGCCGGGGCGTACATGCGCGCACTGTGGGGATTCCTGGTCGGGTCGTTCACTGCGCAGCAAAATTCTAGAAAACTCGATCGTGTGCAGCACCTGCAAAGGTTACGAGTCAGCCTACCAGCGACTGCGCCCCCTTTCGTCGGCTCCCTCCTCGAGCTCATCCGCCGCGGCCCACCGTCCTCTCTCGCATTCCGCGCAGGCCCCGTTCCCAGTTACAAGCACTCACCACTGCACTGTGTGTATGCGCACCGACCCTGGGAAGAACTCGGGCTGGCGCCGGAGCAAGGTCCTGGGCGGCAGGATATGCAAGACCTGCTATAATTATGAATACAGGCAGGAGCGTCAACGCCAGAACACCGCGCTCAATGATTGTGCAGATACCCAGCAGAGGAAAGCGAAATTCACAGAATGAAGGTGGTGAAGTTCCCAACTTCCGATTAAGATGGTCGTTTGGGTTTGGAAACGAATAAACATCGACGATGGACATTGATGTGTAATTCTACTTGCGGCTGTATCTGCCAGTACTAATGGCCTCCTTTCGAGTCGCTCAGTGCAATGTACCATTATCTTGGTTGCTTGAGCACGGCCACTCCGAGTCGTAGTCGCGTATAAAAATTTGAGAGGACATCGCGCAGTCTTTGCTTGAGCAGCATGATACAGCATGCTATATAATATGCGGCTAAGATGGTCCTGGATCAAATTCTTTGGCACCGTCCTCGCAGGGCCAAAAGTCTCTCTAAGTCGAGCCACATCGAAAATTTGCGCGGAATCAGCTCAGCTGGCAGTAAGTATCGGAGAGTTTTCGGCTATAGCGCAGCGCTAATTTAGAAAGAACTTCTCTCGCTCTCTGTCAAACGCTACGGAGAAGTAACCTTCATATTTGGCCCCGGTTATAGGCAACATGGCCGAGCGGTCTAAGGCGCCAGAATTAGGTCTCTTATTAAATCTGGTCCTCCGGGGCGAGGGTTCGAACCCCTCTGTTGTCATTCTTTTTTCGGACTCTTTCTCACTTCTTTCTGTCTAACTTACAACCCCTCCTTGAGCAAGCCAACAGCTGTATATGACACTCAGCTCAATTGAAATTAGACAAATCGCACCGTTACATCTAGTCCCAACCAAGCCGATCATATACCTAACCGGCTCGACCGGATTGATGGCCAAAGAAACGGGTAGCGAGAACGCGACTCCCGCGCTGGCGCGGCCAGCGCGGGAGCCCTGTTATCTTCATGCCGTGGACCGCTCATATATGTAGGTATACACGGGGAGAATACTCTGTACTAGGGTGTGGATGGTGGGTAATTGTAACTTGATACTGGCGAGCGGCGAGAGGTAAGTACAAGAGAACAAGAAAGAGAAAGGGTATACGGACCTAGCGAGTGGCAAGAGCTAAGCTAAGAGAAGGGCAGCCCCTCTCTACAGCTCCTGTAAGCTACCGCCCGCCAGGCCGATCGAGCCGAGAGTCCACTCGCGCGAGGCGATACGCTACGCGCGCCATGGCCAGCACACGCAGGAGCGATACGGCGACCTTCGCATTCAGCGCCCGGTGTGTGAGACATCGGCATGCGAAGGGCGCGACATTCTCGCGAGCTAGCCCTAGTTTCTCGCCGGTTAGACTTGCGTAAACAAATCGTTTAAAATCGATTAGAAGACTACGGTTGGTGCACAAGTTGCTGGCGTTGCCGTACAGTTGTTATGACGCCAATGCAACAGATAAAAGAGTCTGTAGATCGGTAAGCACAATCCAGTATGCATATTGGTGGCGGAAAGAGTCTTTATTTCATCTTCGAATACACTCCGACTGAAGCCTCTGATCCTGGGTCTTGTAGTTTGCGGAGATCGTCATGAGAATGAAAGACCGCAGCATTTCAAGACGCGTCGGTTTTGGCCAGAACTTGGAGCGGCATATGGAGACTACATGGTGAGAAGGCAGTGGGTCGAATAATATTGACATCATTTCGGACCTATCACCCACGATTCCAATGAAGACTATATGAGCGCCGCAACAGGCCGAAGACGTGTGATGGTACACCATGACCCTTACGTACTCGAGCCTCGCTCGTATGAACTGTGATGATTCAACAAAATCCGTCGTCGGACTTGGTTTTGGGGGCCTGGATGGACACGACATTGAGCCACGACAGAGTACAAGAAGCGGAATCGGTTCACCGCTTGTCTCCGAGTCGGCTGCTGTACCGGTGACACTCAGCTGCGACGAGACAACGTCTGAAAAGTTTCTCAGATCAAGATGAATGATACTGGGAGAATAGAGTTCAAACCAGACAAATCATCGCTTCCGAGCGCGGACCCTTGAGAGGAGGATGGAGATAGGAGCTGCGGTTTCTCGACGGAGTGGCCAGACGACAGTAACATAGGGGCAAGGGCGCTGAGCCTGTCGATGGCTGGGGCACATATTAGTGGGCAAAAGAGACGGGAAATGTCACAAGATGCGCACCTGTACTCGCTGCAATCCGTAGTCTGTTCCATGGTGTACGCATCTCCTCCAATTTCTGCAAGTATAGACGTCGAAGTTCTGTGGGTGATCAGTATCAACGAACTTGTGAATGAGCCCGGCACATACCCAGATACGTCCGTATAGCATGGACCATGACGGACCAGACCTTGATCTCGACTTTCGCGTCCGACATCCCCGGCATGTTGAGACATATCACCCGATAGATTATCACCGATTTTTCGAGGTCGGCGTCAGCTGGCCAGACTTGGAGGTACGCCGTAACTAGACCGGTTTCGACAAAGGCACCGAAGAGCATGATCCGCTGAAGTGCAGCAGAGTCATTGTCGGATGTCGGACCTTGTGGCGAGGTCGATTGCAGAGGAGTGATGGCAAGCAGCGGGCAGATTTCGCGATGGAATTCATTCCAGCAGGGAGGGAGGTCGGACGAGCAGATTATCGATCGGAGTTCGGTGGCTTCAGCTGGCCGGTTTTTGTGGTGAAAAGGGCCAAAGAAGGTGCCATGTGATGTGCTGGAAGGAATCCAGTCAGTTCCGTGTGCATCGTGCGGTGGTGCACAAGGCGGGCGAGGCTTGAAGAACACCTGTAGAGTAGACATGAGACCTGGGCCCCTTTCATTGCGACTGCAAAAGCGTCACCATCTTCCGATCATCTTCTCAGGTCATCGTCATGACATGCCGACGGACTGGCACGGAACCCAATGGGCCGCCCGTGGCGCGCACAGGCTGCGACAATGGTTCAGCGATGTGCAAACCGTCCAGTCCGGGGGCGACTTGGGTGTCGGGATGGTCCTCCTTGTCTTTTGCTCGGTTGGAGTGGCGCCAAAGTGGCGCTGAATTGGGCGTCGCCGCCAAGTCGCCGCACCGGAGACCAGTCATCTGAAATAACCGAGTGCCGAGTCAGCGCGGGAACAGTGGGCTGAAAGGGGTACAAGTAAGCACAAACTGTTTCAGAATACTTACCTTCCTCCTCTTCCCATTTTCCATCTACCAGCACCCCGCCGACTGCCATCCGTGCCGCACTGCAGCTTGGACGACAGTCCCGGACCACCCGAGGGCAGCCCGGAATCGATATTGGTCGAGTTTTCCGCAGCCTTTCTCAGCGCGGTGAGTAGGTTAATGTCGAACGCGGTGAGTCTTCGCGATTGGCTCCGTCGGTGGCTCCTTGACCAGCCTCTGGCTGTCGTGGCCACACTGTAAGCGTTTGAGAGTCAGCACTTTCCCCCAGAGCACTGGAGCGGTACCTTGACTCTCCGCTAAACCATGCGGATCACAATTCTCCCAGTGCGCTGTCCCGCGTCGACGACGTCGTCAAGAACCGGTGGGCAGGGACATGTACAGGACTGCAGTGCTGTTTCTTGCACCTTGTCTTCGGCAGCCCGACCGTCGTTAAATGAGCCATAACTAAAGCATATATAGTAAGGTGAATATTGGGAGACGCAATTAACCTAAGTTTGCCGCACTTTTAGAGAGACATTGACGAAGACGGACCCATGGACCATATTATCCCGAGCCAATATAGACGTCGGCCTGAGCGAGGCCTCCGAACATGATTACTAACATCGGTTGAGTGACACAAGTCGAGCTTCCTGTATAGTAAGTAGTACGCACATTTCCTGCCCGTCTTCCACGTTATCGCTCCGTAGAAAGCAAAGGTTCGACCAACACCTTAATCGCCATGAGATCTGGGATAGCCGTGTCTCCCGTGTGGATAACAGTTCCAGGCACCGTTCATCTTCGATTTCGGGTGGAAGCATCTCTCTACATGTAGCAAGGGTACGCTTGCAGATACCGAAAAGCAACCATAACACTAGGAGAAGTGATCCTGTTGCAAAGGATTCCGCAGAGAGGTGTTCGCTGAGTGACTTTCCTGGGCCTTTTGTAAGTCCTATCTGCAGCCCAAGGAGCGCAGCAGGACTCACCAAAGCGCCCAGGAGGGCTGAGGGCGCGGAATGTTAGCAGCGAAGTCTTGTGGAAGTTAGGGTCGTCGAAGTCGATGTCCAAGCAATGGGTGCTTCGCAAACATCAACCAATCATTCGCGCGCTAAACTCCGTGATGTCTTTGCACTCCGTCGTTCCACCGTCGTTGTCGAGTCTAGCAGCGAAGTCGATCTCAAGCCCCGTTCTACTATCAATCCCAATTGTCCGATGTGCGATCTAAGTATCTCATCGGCTGGCTCTGTAGTACAGCCTTATCAAGGCTGAAAGGCGCCGATAGCTCAAAGGGAACGTGTGTCACCGCTCATAATCATGTACTCTCTGAATCGACAGCCTCCGCACTGCTTCCTCTCTTGACCCGAAACCCGTCAAATCAACGCCAAAAAAAATGTGTGTTATATATTCCAGACTTTCGCGTTGAAATTGCTCTAAGGTTATGGAGGAAGATTCTAATCCCCGGATTTTGCGCCCGAACACCTCGTTTTGCGACGAGCGAAAAATCATGGAGCATTCGGTGCGATGGATGGTCGGAGGTCCGTTCGCCCCTAACTTCTACTAATTCCAGTCTAAGTTCATGTATCGGATCCCAAACCTGTCGCTTCATTGAACTCAGGCGACCAAAAGCGTCGATCTCGTTGATCTCAAGCTATCTGCAAGATCAGAGCTCCATCAACTTGATACGATAATATGTGAGCATACGATTATCTGCAGTCAGCAGCGCATGGGGCGTCTGGAACTCGAAGTAGGTTGCCGAGGCCCGATATCCGGGAAAATCGCCGACATATACTTATCGGAAATGCGGTCCAGCTACGCCTGAAGACTCTCTTGCGCGCCCCGATCTCTTCCCTGGCGATGGCAAAATGTGCTTCGAATCGCATTCGAATCTCGATAACTTGAACTTCAAGTTTCGAACAATTTCTCAATTGTGTGTTTAAACAACGCCCGATCGCATTCTCGGCGGGGGAGGCATATAGGCTTGAAGATTACATCCGCAAGAGAGCGACGTCCGATGGCCTCCGATGGCGCACCGATACATTGTATGATGATTGGATGCCTCAAATGGGAAGTATGTGTTATGTATGCATGTTTGGTCTTCTGTCCATTGTGCGGCTTCTTCCCATCCCGTAATTTTAAAGGACGGGCTCGGTGGCCTCACTTCCGGTGCGCCCCCACCTCACTCTCTTACAGCGACGCAACCTTACCGCGACCGGTGCAGCACAGGAATGGAAGTTTTCCGCGCGATCCTTGAGCCGCATGACGAAGGCATGCCCAAGCTCAGCGCCTCCGAATACCTCGAGGCTCTGTATGCGCGCGCCGAGGTCGAGGAGGCAGAAGCCCTCCGGTCGATGGAGGCGAAGAACAAGAAACGAGGCCGTCGGTCGCAGCCTGCGTCGGCGCCAGCCAATGCAGGGCCCAGCGTCCGTGCGGCCGCAGTATCAGCACCGGATGCCACCCCCACGGAAAACGCGCCCTCGGGCACCGCTACCGGAGCGGGCGGTACAATCGCGTCTAGCTCAGCCACGCGAGGAGGCCAGTCGCGTTCGGCAGTGAAAAAGGGCTCCAAAGCCGCCGCCCCGAG